GCTATTGTGATAAAATCAGGATGGTACTGGTGTAGAGACAGACCTGAGGATCCGTGCAACAGATTAAAAGATGCAGACACAACTACAAATGCATTCAGCCACCTTGTCTTTGATAAAGGGGCCAAACACTCTCACTGGAAAAAAGATAGCCTTGTTAATAAATGGTGGTAGAAAAACTGGCTTTCCACATGCCGAAGGCTAAAACTAGACCTATGCCTATCACCATGCACAAAGTTACAGACAAAATGGATCAGAAGTTTAAATATTAAAACTCTATCTCAAAATAAAGATTAAAAAAAGGTCAGGGCTGTCACTCAGTGGGAAAGTACTTGCCTAGCACGTGTGAGGCTCAGCGTCCGTCCCTAGCACCGCACATGCGCACGCACACACTCTTACTCTCAGAATCACCGTCTCAGAAACCTTGAGCACGCACAGTCAAAGGCACTAAGGCAGCACCAGAGCGCCGTTTGCATTCCGACCCTCAAGCACGTGGTGCTATGGTTCTCAGCAGGCTGAGCGCTCCTAGGCTGGACATAGACTCGTTAGAGTTGTGCCTAGTGGGGAGGGGAGAGAAGCTTAGGGCTGAGAAGAAAGGAGGGTGAAGCTAATGTGTTGGAGCCGCATACTGAGGTCTAACCCCAAGATCAGAACTGAGGAGATGCAGTCACCCTCTGAGCCCTAAGGAAAAGAAAAGAGTCCTGCAACTTTGCCCCAATCTGAGACTGCAGCTCACAACTCTGTGTCTGTCCCTCTGTGTGTGTGCCTGGCTCTGTCTGTATCTCTGTCTCTGTCTCTCTGTCTCTGTCTGTCTGTCTGTGTGTGTGTGTCTCTCTCTCCCTCCCTCCCTCTCTCTCTCTCCCTCTTCCTCTCTCTCATCTCTCTTTCTTTGTCTTGATGGCGTCCCGTCTCTAAGAAGACAAGCAGAGCAGAGCCAGCTCTTTGGGGACATCCAGGCTTGGCCAGGTCGAATCAGGCTAAGGCTGACTCGACCAGGCAGTGTGAGCTTCCCCTCACTGCCTCTGATCACTGTCAGCTTGCCCAGGATGAGGTGCCATGCTGAGAGTGAGCCCGTGCGAAGCCTCACCCAGGTGCCTCAGTGACAGTACACGCACCAGGCTGGTGACAGGAACTCTGACCGGGGTGGCTGAGGGCTGGGGTGGCAGATCTCTGTACCTCTGGCTCACACCTGCTGTAGAAGTGAAACATCCTTAACACAGTCTCTTTAAAACTCAGGACACCTTGGAGGTTAGGTGCAGGAGCCCAAGCCCTGCAGCAGCACCGGGATGACAGGTGGTGTGCAGCCTGGTGCTATAACTGTGGGCATGGGGCAGAGGACAGTGCTTCCCTTGCCGCCTCTGCTGCATCCTGATCTCTGAGGAGATCCCCTCCTCAGAAGACAGCAGGGAACACAGAGGTGACAGTGCCCTCATTGGAGGATTTGATCAGCGGCCATACCACTCGGACCCTTTCAAGCCTGCTGGAGGCTGCTTCTCCCTCCTGGCCCCCTGGCAGGATGCAGGGCCCCTGACAGGAGGAAGTCCTTATCACAGGGGACAGGATGTGACTCAGGGTGGCCAGCTCCCTCGTGTGACTTCTTATCCTGAATCTGGCTGGGTGCAGGACCATCGTGGACACCACCCACCTGCTCTGTGGCCTCCAGAGTCACTGAGCATACTGTATGCCAAGGCTGCAGGGCCCAGGAGGCCTGGGAGGCAGGGGCCACTCTCTGGGACCCATGAGGGGCACGTCATTCCTTTGTCCCCACAGTCATGATGCGAAGGCACGTGTCCTGCTCCCACCCACTGGAACCCTGGTCGTCTCTCTTCTGCACACACAGAGCTCCCCTCAGAGCATGAAGAGACTGCTATGTGCACATGGAGGGCTGTGGGGTGCCCCCACCCCTCTTGTGGCCTCAGGTCCTCCTCCCTGTCCTAACACCCACCACACTCAGGCTTTCCCTGGGGTCCCTGAGTCTGGAAGCTCAGCCTGGGCTCCTTTACCTTCGGAGTTTGTCTCTGCTGCTGATATCAGGAAGTGGCCAGGTCAGGGAGCTGGCAGGACCATGCTGGCAAGGGGGGGCTCTCCAGCAAGCCTGTCCTCTTGGCTGGTCCAAGACCCTGGGGCAGCGCACTGGGCTTCTCAGTCTCAGAACTGGAACGCATGGCCTCCCCCTAAAGCTGGGCACTGTGATCCAGCAACAGAGTGGACAGAGATACCTGGTGGCTCATTGCTGGGTCCCTCCTTAGAGACCAGGTCCCCGGATGTCACACACACCCTGGAGAGCACACCTGCCCTGCGTCTGAGCTGCACAGTTTGTAGTGGCTGGTTCCTGCCCTCCCACAGCAATGGGCTCTGAGCGATGAGATTTTTCCATCATGGTCCCCGCTGGGTCTCCAGGGAATGTGAATAAAGCCTCTCATGAGCCAAACACTTCCCATGAAGCATTAATTAAACTACCCTACAGCTTGAGACTGTGGAAGCCAGGCTATTTGACAAAACAAAACTAGATAAACAACAGCTGTCACTGATTCTCTGCTACTGTGTCCCTGCTGACTCTCTAGTACTGAGCCATTTAATCTTCACAGATAAACCCAGCATCTGGGAATTGGCTGCCTCCTACATCACATGAGGGACAGGGTGCTCCCCGGGGAGACAGAGGGAGCTGGCCAGGATGACAGGGCCACACATGATGTGGCTGTCCACACCAAGTCCTCACCTGTTCCAAACACAGCTGTGGATGCCAGCAGCCTGGAACACTGAGGAGGCTGTGCGCACCTGTGCCAAGACCTTGGTCACCTGCTTCCAAAGGGCTCCGTCCAGGGGGTGGATGCCTGTGCTCAGAAGGACGTGGCCAGCACGCCACCCAGAGAGACAGACGCAAAGCACTGCACACGCACGGTGCAGCCAGGCGAAGGGGCCAGGACCTGGAGGCCACACTCAGCTGAAGGTGCAAAGGGACAGCAGCCAAGACACTGTGTTGCCCGAGTCAGCTAGTAGGGGAGACCGGCGCCCATGACACAGCTGAGACGAATGAGGCTGGCTACGAGCTCCCACGGGAAGGGCCTCCAGAGGTGCAGCTTCGCAGGACTAGAAGGCCTTAAGCTGGCTTCATGATTTTTCAGTGATGCGTTCATTAGAGTAAATTTCAGTTCTTGCCACGCATGCACACACACCACACACACGTACGCACACCACAGGGCCCCATGCACGCACCTGCAGGGGAGTGAGGGACACGTTAGTCAGCTTGATAGTGGTGGTAACGTGCGCCATGCACCCGACATCCTACTGTGCACTCTAAACACATGTGACTTTCATTTGTGAAACATACCACAATGAAGTGGAGCAAAGTACATGGTTTTGTACAGAAGTCATCTCCTGTCCCTCTGATAGCTACGCTAAGTCGCTCAGCTGTCTTCTCGAGTCTCCCTAAGGAAATCTCTGTTCTCATTCCAGGGATAAGGCAGTTCATAGGACCAATTAGTAAACATGTCCAATTGCATGACCTATTTAATATTCAATGTATTATGTTTTCCAAGCTCAGAGTAAGTTGAGCCAGAAACAGCAACCCCTGCTTGGTGTAGATTAGGACAGTCAGGGGTCACTCTGTGAAAGTCCTGGTGCTGAGACCTGGGTAGCTCCAGTTGCCACAACCCCTTACCTGGCCAAGCCCAGGGCTCCTTCCTGTGCTCCCCAGGATGGAGGAAGACACCCAGCGGCTCCCTGAGCGCAGCCAAGCATGCCAACTCTGGAGCGACAGCCTCAACAGCCTGGCCCTTCTCTTCCCTCTGCCTGCATTTTACACCACAGCTGACATCGAGGCCCTGCTGAGAGCAAGACGAGGAAGCCTGAGCAGAAGGTGCCCCGCCAAGCACAGGAGAAGGAATCAGCAGCGGTGGAATCTGCGACCACAGACGCCGACCCTCTGAGCTTAGTCCTCACTCACCCGTGGGCAAACCGAATCTGCCTTCTCACTGCTGTAATGTTTATAAAGTAAGACTGCTGTGTGTGCAGACCCAGTCCCCATGACGAGCGTGCTTGTGATGCGCTGCAAACATTCTAGTAAAGTATTCTAAAATCTCTAAAATACAGAAGTCTAGAGCAGTTTTCAAAGACGATGGGAATCTGGCCAGAACATGGTACAGGAGTAAGTAGGCGCACTTCGGAAACTACGGGCCGAGCGAGAAAGGGGCGGACAGAGGCTCTTTACCCGCAGCGCTCAGAATCCATCATCCTCCCAGCCCCTGATTTCAGATTTTGGCACGCTTCTCCAAGCCAGCCAGAAACATTTATTTAGAGCCTTATTTCTCCAAAGTGTTCCAAAGATTTCAGAGATGTCAAGTGTAGTTAGCCCTTAGACAAAGTTGTGCAGCAGCAGGGCGACCCTGAGGCAGAGGCATTCAGGCACTCCGCCAATGCAGGACACATTCAGAGAGAAGAAAACATTCAGGCAGTGACAACAGCAGTCAGTGGAGTCTGCAGACCCCAACAGGAAGCCAGCCTGAGATGTGGCTCTCAGGGAGAGCTTTCAGGCTGGGGCATGGGAGTGTGACAGGACTCCCCTGAGGCAGAGCGAGGTGTTTCGGCCAAGCCCCTCTGCACGGGATCTGCAGGGGCGTGCAGGTGGGGGCTGCAAAGCAGAACACAAGCGCAGAAGCAGCTGCCGCCTGCACCTGTTCTGCAGCCTGCAAAGCAGTAAGCTGTGCAGGATCAACCCACAGACAGGAGCCGCCTCGCAGCCACGCGTGGGTGAGCGTGTCTTCCTACTTTTAGACCCTGATGCTCAGGCTGACCCTGAAGCCAGCAGGTAAGATGCAAGTCCTGCACCTCAGCAGAGGGAAGAGGACCGGAAGGCATCCTATGAAAGCAGTGTCGATTCCCGGCGGATTCTGAAGTCCAGATAATCAGTGGCTTCCTCAGACCCATGCTCTGGGGCCCACTGAACCCAAGCTGGTGGCACCGCCCCACCCTCCCAAGGCCGCCCCAGCCAGAGTAGGACTCACCAGAGTGCCCGCAGGATGGTATTGCCCATGGTCTCCTCCACGCTCGCCGCTGCCTCTGGGCACTGGCTGTGCCACCAGACTAAGCACAGGAGCACAGGTCAAGACCGAGGTAGGACGCCCCAGGGTGGGGGGGGTAAAGTGTGTGCGCTCGTGCGCAAGTGTGCCCCGCATGGAAGAAGCAGGCAGGACAGAAGGACCCAGCCTACGCCCAGGCCTGCAGCACTGGACAGGCCTGACCACCCTGTTCCTCAGAACTCAGTGGGCCCAGCGCAGCCCACACGCTGTTCTTTTCCAGTCACACAGAGCCCCTTCTCAGAAGACAAACCAACTATAATTATCCTGTGGCTCTGTCCATGCAAATCAAGGCACACATCCATGTCACCTTTCTAGAGGTCTGAAGCTCCCCAGCACCCAGTGGAAAGGAGGGGCACAGGTGCACAGGCCATCTGTGGTGGCCCAGCAGCCAGCACAATTCTGGGTCCACACCAAGGCCACGGCCAAACAGGAAGGATGCAGAGCTCCGGGCACCACTGCCATCGGGGCCTCCGCTTCCTCCCACGCCCATCGCGGCCACAGAGACAAGCTGGCCACCCTGATAATGATGAGGCCACGTGTCACTATGGGGCTGGCTGGACGCTGCTGACCCAGCAGTCCTTGCTGGACGAAAAAGAGCCAGCTCTGGCCCTGTGCCGCAGGTCCTGGGCTCACAGGGCTCAGCCGCTGTGCAGTGTGTTTGCTGAGCACAGGAGCTGGTAAGCGCCTATTCCAACCCTCCTTCCCAGCAGGAAGCCAGGACCAGGGGAGTTCAGCTATTAGCTGTGAGCAGGAGTTGCCATACTATTCAGTTATGCATCACAAAGGTCTTGGAAGCGCAGTGTCAAGCAGCTGGCTCAGGCTCATGGGGGTGCAAATCCATCCGAGGCTGCTGCATGCTAGTCCCAGCCTGGGCCAGCCCCCTGCAGCTCCCACCAGGCCCGATGTGCCAAGCCCAGTCCTGCGGATGGAAGCACGCTGGGGCGCGCTGGGTAAGGCCGCTGATGGCCAGCTCCTACCCCCCTCTGTGCTCCCTGCTGCTTGGCACCTGAGCTCCTCTCCTGCTCACTTTCTACCCCAGCAAGACCAGGCTCTGTCTCTCTGGGACTACGAAGACATTGCGTTCGCACTGATAATCGAGGCCAGTCAGTGCCCTGCACGTCCAGTGCCAGAGATCTGACAGCACGTGCTTTTACTTGGTGATTGCTATGTTCTTGGAGTAGAAAACTCTAGAAAGTATAAATAAGAAAAAATAAAATATTTAGATACAAGAATCCTACATCACACAAGCCATCCAATGGGGTGTTTTCTGCTGCTTTTGTTTGTTTGGTTTTGGTTTTTGGTTTTTGGTTTTTTTGAGGCATAGCATTTACCTGCACACCCTGACCATGCCATGTGACTGACATCTGCACGGCTGGGCCACGTGGAGGACGGAGCTGGCCTTCTGTCTCGTGGAAGCCACACAGAACCACTGACATGAGGCTCCCTGGCCCGACTGCAAGCATGGGCATGTGCCCTCAGCTTAAAAATTTCCAGACAGGAGGGCGTCCCTGCTGCTCATCTTTCGATGCTGTTAAAGATGTCTTCCAGGACCACTTTCTGTTGTCCAGTGTGTGGTAAGGTATAACTGGGGCTTTAACATGATCTAATCACTGAGTGCAACCCTGGAGACACAGGCAGGGGAGCTCTCCTTGCTGCTGTTCCACAAAGCAGGGGCCCGTGCGCTGCTCCCCACGGTCTTCTTGTGCCTCTGGGTGTCCTTTTGCTTTCGTTCTCTGTGATAGACATTTAAGGTGAGCTCCACCCTCTTAATGAATAGCTAAGTGAGCTGTTCCTTACTAACAGCAGGCACTCTTCTCCGGCAGGAAAACTTAAGAACAGGAGAAAACAGTTGCCAGCCATGCTTCAGACAAGAGGTCAATTTCCCAAACAGCAAGAAAAACCCTTACATCATTCAATGGCTTGACAACTGCATGAGTCAACTTCAATTTTAGGATGAAAAAAGACCGTGAAAGGATGCTCCTGGAGGAGGTCATGCAAATGCCCAGCAGGGGCATGAGAAGACCCTCGCCGTCACTAATCACCAGGGAAATCCCAAGGGGGACAAGCCAGCCACAGACAGACGGACGCTGCATGTCTTGCTCATGTGGGATCCAGCTGTCAGTGCCACAGAAGTGAAGGAACAACAGTGGCTGCAGGAGGCAGAGAGCTTGAGTGGGAGCCACCCTCAGTGGGAGGGGCTGACCCGGGTACTTTTCTCTCATTGCTGGGACAAATACCTGACACCCAGAATTAAGGAAGGAAAGGTTTATTTGGCTCACAGTTTGCAGAGGTTTTAGTCCATACTCAGCTGGCTCCCAGGCAGAGCGGCACATGGCAGAGGGCAGCAGTTCATGGTGACAGAAGACAGCAAAGAGCAAAGGGAGGAGCAGCAGCAACAGAGAGCAGGTTGGCTACAGAGAGCAGGTTGTCTCCTTGCACTTGCTAAGGCTATCTGTCCTAGACTGGGTGTGGCACTCACGCCCGTAATCCCAGCAGTACTCACGCCCATAATCCCAGCAGCACTCACATCCATAATCCCAGTGGATCATGCGATAATTACAAACTCTAGAAGTCCTCCCCATGACTGCATGAGACTTTGGGGGGACAACTAGACACAAACCATAACTGAAACCATAACTAGACACAAACCAGAGCCTGGTGTTCTGCTACATGCAAGGGCACTGTACAAAGGAGCACACTGTGTTACAGAATAGCTGGAAGCAAGGATTTGGAATGTTCTTACCACAAAGAAATGAGTGCTGTGCGTGACGATACTAATCTCAATGCGTAGCGCAGCTGCACAATACAGTGCGGTCACGCTGTATGCTACAAGCACATGTGGGCTTATTATATGTCAAATAAAAATAGAATAAAACAAAAGACTGCCTCACATAAAGAGAATGACACCCAGTTTCTTAGCGTCCTTAGAAGTTCACGGGCAGTGCCCAGCACATTGTCCTACAGTAATTATTGCAGCCAAGCATTTTATTTCTTCCTACTTTTAGTTTTCCTATTATAATCATGCTGCTATTCATATTTTTAAAAATAAATCTCAACATAGCATTGTTCATAGTGCCTAAAATGTTGGCTGCCAACCCACAAGATTTGCCCCACGAAGAGCTGTAGACGTGTCTCCCGTCCTCTCCGCCACCAGCCACCCACAGGTGTGCGGAGCGGGCCCTGCTCCCTGCAGCCCCGGGACGCGGACAGCGCCTCCCTGTCCTGTGCACATACTGCAGGGACTAGAATCCGAACAAGTTCCTCCCTAGCGCAGAGCGGGCCACAGCCCTGGGCTGCCTCCCTATCTCGTTTTCAGGGAAAGCTGAGGAGCTGACCGCTGAAAAAGCTAAGGCTGCAGGAGAGTGGATGTTTGGAGTTGATATCTTTGTGGCATTCTTGACTAAGTTTATATTTTGTCCTATTTATTATGTACAAGAAATGGCATCAAATTTGGAAAAAGACAGTGATGGTAGTTTGGTTAGTACTTCACGCTCAAGACCGTTCTAATCAACCAAAACGACACTCATCTGAACTCTGGGGCTGGGACTACAGACACAGCACCACGCTTAGACGCGGAAGAAAATCACTGCAGCAGCACTCACCTGACTCCGTCCTGCCCTGCTCCTCCCCCCACCCGTCTCTTACCCTAAGAGAAAGTGCATGCCAAGCTGCTGTGACCATCAGGCTCAAGTCTGGGGGCCTTGTCCACCACCCCAGGCCTCAGGACGGGCCCCAGACGCTGCCCCAGGAGGAGCCGCGCCATCTGGTATAGAGCACGTGGAGAGCAGAGCTGGGGCTCTACTGCCGCCTGCAAACGCCCCCTCGCCACCTGTCCGCGACCCCTGCTGTACCAGCGACTCTGACCCGCACGCTCTCTGCACTTGATCGCTGGAGTCCTCTCCCTGCCTAGCAGGTGATAAACTCAGCTTCCTTTTCTGTTTGTTTTTTCTTTTAATCTTTATTTATTCATTTATTTGGTACAACGTCTCGCTACGCAGCTCGGATTCGTAGCGAGCCCCCTGTATCTGCCTCCCCAGTGCTGAGATTACAGACGTGCGCCGCCACGCACGGTCTGGATGGTCCGCAAGGCGCGCCGGGTGCAGGGCCAGCACCCGTGCAGTACCAAGGCCTTGCACTTGCCAGGCAGGTGCTTAGGTCGCCGATCTATGCGCCCAGCCCTCGGCTTCCTTTTCCTTTGTTACAAGCCTTTGACTCCAAGAACTGGCAACATCTAGTGGTTCTGATGGTCCCATCTGTCTTGTTGCACACAAAGTACCTGCTACCCCACTTACAGGAGAGGTGTTTCACATGGCTCACATTCCACATTCCTGGCATGGCCCACGGCCTGGCACGAGGGGAGCTGCTCACCTCCTGGCAGCCAGAGAGCAGAGCGAGAGGGCAGGGGCGGGCGGGTGCTGCATCCCTGGGGGTCATGCCTCAGGGCGGCCTCCTCCAGGCCCCGCCTCTCCAAGGCCCCACCTCCTGACCACAGGCTATAAATTCCCCCGGGGATGCAAGTAGCTTAACAGCATGCTCCTGAGGGCCGAGGGCAGCATGCTACCGCGGCTAAGTTATTGCCAACAGCTGATACTGGCAGAAAGCAAGTGGTTTCAATTTAATTTTAAATGGAAAAGGAATTTATTTACTGTATAGTAATTCTAAAATTGGTATTCTTTTCCAAAGCAGCTATATAAATTCCTATCATTTAAACACTTAAAACCTGCTTTTTTATTACCTTATTCTCAGTAATAAATGTAGTGCTCATGTATCAGTAACTTTTCCTTACATGGGCTCCCATGAGGTGGAAGGTGGGGTGCAGCTCCGCACTGGAGCACCTGCCTAGCACCACCTGGCCCTGGGCTTGCTCCCCAGAATGGCCAAGGCGACAGAGAACTGGGTCTCTGCCCAACCCACGAGCGCTTCCAGCAGAGGCCTGACAGACTGAGGAGCTGCCGTGACC